TACCAATTCATAGTTTTTGTTTTAAATAGAAAAATTGTGAAAAATTTAACTTTAAGAAAAATGGAAAAATTGTTATTAACAAAAAAAATTAACTTAATTCTAAATGCTTACATGGCATGATATTATTGGTTGATTTAAATCTTATGTGGACGTCTTTAGGAGCTATATATAACGGAGAAGAATCACAGTTTCGATAAAAAAAAAAAATTATTAACGAGTCACAAAAAAAAAATAGTTTCCATTTATCATAAAACAATAATGGAATATTACCATTAATTTGAGTATATCTGAAAATAAATGGTATAGTACTAAAAACTAATGGGTTTTACTAATTTTTTTTCTAATTTGTATTATTGATGTGGCATAATACTATTGAAAAAATAAAAAAAAATTATCAACTACATTATTCTCGTTTATTTTTTCAAAATACACTATTTTTTTAATGGAAAAAATTGTAAAAAAGTAAAAAACAACTTTAAAGAAGTGGAAAAATTCCAATTAAAACCAAAAAGGTAAACTAAATTAAATTTAAATATTTGATTTGGCGAAATACTATAGGTTGATTTAAATCCTATAGGAAATCATGTCTTATTTTTTAATTATTATCAACAAAAACAAAATTAATTTAATTCTAAATATTTGACATGACATAACACTATAGGTTGATTTAAATCCTATGTGGACGCCTTTAGGAGCTTATAACTCAACTTTTATATATTATAGATTCATAATATAAGATTAATTAAGGGAAATTTGGTTGTATAACATAAAAAAAAAATTGTATCTAAAAATCTAGTTAAAACCTATATGTGTGGTTAAATCTCACCCATTAAATCTAGAGTTTTTGATTAGTTTTTTAAATATAATTTTTTTTTGGTTATACTACAAATTGACCCATTAATTAAAGTCATGAACAAACAAAAAAAGGTGTGATTGCGATTAAAATAAGAGAAATGAGCGATGCCATTCAATGCGATAATTGACTTGGTGCTTCAGTTTTTATACCATTCAATATGGTAGCAGTGCCTTCCGTCTCACTCCAAAACCATTGATTCAACCATAACCATCATGAACACAAACCAACACACATTGATAGGCATTGAAATAAGTACTCGGGATAAATTTATGAGTTCATGAACTGAATCTCAAATGGAGACAAGTAGATGACTAGGAGC